CAACTTACATGGTCAGGAGGAGAATGATCAAATCAATGTTGGCATATACACACTTTAGAATTCTAGGGACTAGTTGAAAGAGGGAGGTGCTCTCACAGGAAGAGCCTACATTCTTTTCATTAAGTGGCAAGGGCAAGAGGTAAAGCAATATGTACATCATTATCCAGGTATTTTTAAAACATAGCATGTATTTTTCTCTTCCATCAAGGTAAGGAAAAGTCCAGAATATATTTTAAAATAATAGGCTCAAGATTTTAAATAATCATTACTTCTAAGGAAAGCTGAATTTTAGAAGAATGCAGTTAGGGGCTAGCAGGAGGCACGGCAGTTACAGTGCTCAACTCGCACAGAGCTGACCAGTTTCGGTCCCAGACTTCAAGGCATGCCCATAATTCCAGGAGACAAGAGGAGAAGAGATTGTGGAATGACCATCCCCCCTGGGGGTGATTTCTCACTTTCCCTCTCACTCTCTCTCTATGGCAATGTGCTATGGCAAAAACCTTTTAAAAAAAAATAAATAAGAAATGCAGTAGAACCAAATGCTCTGCTCTGCATGGCTAACCCACATGGGAAGGCGCTGGGTAGTGTCCAGAGACCTATCTGAATACTCTGGGCATCAAATACACACAATCTGAAACTAGTAGAAGCTGGGGGTAGGTCATGGCACACGACCTTATTAATAAAAAAGTTATAAAAATTAGAAAAATGTAGTTAGGAGAGGGACTTGCAGTTACTCATATTGAGAATTTCCTTCTTCCTTTTGCGACATAATCAAAATCATAACTACTGAGTGTCTGCTACCCTCCGCTTGAATGTGCCAGAATATTTGTACAGGTGTCTTTACACACACTGAAAAACAGGATTTTCCCCAGGACAGGTATAGAAAAGAATCTGCTAAATCATGGGGATTATTTTTATATTTCCTGTAAAGGTTAGCATGCTAGGGAAATGTCTGCACTGGTGGTACACTGAAAAATTGTTCCAAAAAGATGTCCATGCACTTATCCCTGAAACACGTGAATATGTTCTGCTACATGGCGAAAGAACTTGCAGATCTACGAGGGTTATGAAACTATTATTAAAATAGGGAGATCCAGGTGGGATCAGTACAATGACATGAGCCTTTATAAGCCAAAGACTCTCTTTGGCTGAAGACAAAAAAAGAGATGAAACAGAAGGGACAGTTCCAAATATTCCAAGTGTGAGAAAGATTCAACCTGAAATTGCTAACTGATAATGAGTAGGCCTGTATGCAAGGACTAGAGAGCAGGCTCAAGGAATTATGGTTGCTCCAGCCAAATGCAGCCAGGCACTGGGAACTTAATCTTACATTTGCAAAGAATGTAAATCCACCAACAATCTGAGTGAGCTCAGAAGGAAATAGTTCCCAGAGCCTTGCATAAAGAGCCCAGGTTCTGTTAGCTTGGTATAGGCCTTGTAAAACCCAGAGAAGGGAAATCAATGGGTCAAACAATTTCTCATGCACTGATGCAAGATAATAAATGTGTGATGTTGTAAAACCCTAAATTTGTGATAATTTGTTACTGAAACCATACAAATATTTTGCAATGTCTTGGAAGGACTGTAAAGTTTGTTAGACTCCAGCCTTTGTGATGACTGCTAGAAGCTGGGCTGGATGGAGGGGGATGAAAGCATACAGAGATGCTGATTAACAGAAATAAAACTACAGATAGATAGGAGGGAAAAGGTCTAGTGCTGCAAAATACGGTGAGGAGAATATGGATGACAACCACTTCTCTAATCAAAGGAAGGAGTTTGAACGTTCCCAACTCAAGTTATGACAAATGGTTGAAATGATGGCCATGCTAATTACCCTGAATGAATCAGTACACATTGTATTTTTGTACCATAAAATTGTATTGTACCTCACAATTTTGTACAACTATTATGCTAATTTAAAAATATTTTTTAAAAAGGATCCAACCTTGGTAGATGTTTGCTGCACAGTGACTTCATCTTTCCACACTTTTCAGTGATAAATGAAGCTTTGGTTCTTGACCTTTAGTTAAGATCACTGATAAGTGTATGAATTCAGTGGCCTGTTTTATCTAACTCAATAGATTATATTTTCCTTTCTTTCTAATGTCATTTGATTTCTAAAATCCCTATCTTCAGAGGTATAGTCCAAGAACCAGTAGACTTTGTGCCAAATCAAACTATACTCCTAAGTCAATTTGGGGGGAAAAAAATTGAGGGGCTGGCAGGTGGTGTGGTGGTTAAGGCCCTGGGCTCCACATGGCTGACCAGTTCGAGTCCTTGACCTGGCATTTGCTTTCTCACTTTCCTTTTCTCTGTTTCGAATTTAAAAATAATAATAAGTAAGTAAAATTAATTAAATAATTCTAAAAAAGTATTTAAAAATTGACAGTGCAGTAGAAACACCCAGGGGAGATGAGCAGACACATCAACTTCACTGCCAAAATGAACACTTCTGTGGAAGGGGCCATTGTTATTAGAGAGGGGTTCCATGGTGTGTGACGGCAAAGACAGGGGATGTTGGACTGCTCCATCAGAGGAAAGAGAGAAAAGTTATTCTGAGCTTTATTTCCCATGGGAAGCAGGGTGCAATCTTCATGGAAGAAATCAGGGAAGAGCTGGACAGCAGGACAGGATCCAGGTTTGGGGATGAGAGGCCACTAGGGCAGACTCAGGAGAAGAGCAATGTAAACGGGGAAGTGCAGGGACTGGTCCCAGGTGCCAGCACCTGGGCAAAGCCAGCTCTCAAAGAACTCTGGGGCTTAAGGTGGGTGGATCTAGGCAAATAAGGCCCACAGGCAGTTCCTAAAAGGTATTTCTCTTTTCTTTATCATACCTGGGGTTAGTGCATTGGCCCCAGGTTCTCTCTTTTTACATTGTCACATTGTGTAATAGTGAGAAGAGAAATGAATTAAGAGAGACAGAACATCCACCTCATGCTGGAAGGACAGGAACACTGTGGGCTCTGAGTGACTTCAGAACAGGCCTCTAGTCCTAACACCATCACTTACCAGTCAAGTGAGCTCAGCACTGCTGCAGAATTCTACAAGTTGCAGATTCTTCATCTGTGAAGTGGTTTTAGTAACTAGTCCACTTTCTCCCCTGCTCATGTATCCCGTGTAAAGAAAGAAGGTTGGAATATATCTAATTTATACAAAGCACTTGGTACTGTGCCTGGCTCATATTCAGTTTTGATAAAATTCAATTGTCATTACTATTACCTTGACTCCCCCCTCCCCATATTTCTCAATCTTCCATTTTTGTTCTGTTTTGTTTCAAATGCAGGAAATGTCCAAGAATTTGTAGCCCATTGGGATACCACGCCAAATCAGCCAAAATGTTAACAGGTTAAACTAAGCTATTTGCTGTACAACTTTGTTGAGGACGTGTTAGTAATTGTTGGTGTGGGTGAGTTTTACGCACTGTGATGCAACTCAAAGTACCTAGAAATTATACCAAGGTCTACTTCAGTTCCTCCCTTCCATCTGCCCTTCCATCTAAACCACTTGAATTTGCAATTATTTTATCCCCATAAAAATCTAGTTTTAGCTTAGAGTTTGCCAAATTGCATGCAAGATAACCTAATTAAAATGCCCAATTAATGGATGGGCTGTGCCTCTCCAAGCCCACTTCAAAGACTGCCAGCACAATGGCTTCTGAGCATTCTATCTCATGTGAGAATCACCATTATTTCTCAGATAATACCTTGTGATGGTGTGGATAAATCATCTTTTTGTGTACCGTGTTCACCTGCAATAACACTACAGGGTATCTCTCTGGTTTATTCATGATCTAAAAGTAACTGCTAAAAGCAATTTCTTATTTCAGTCTTTTCTCTCTCAACTCTGAGATACATTCTCTGAAGTTTTGGGCCCTGCCCATCCCTCCCACAGGCTCATCTGACCCACAATTCAGTTTAATTTAAAGTTACCTCACACTGAAGGACGTACAGTTTGTCAAAGCCCCAAATCTCCTTACCATAGATAACTTAACACTTGACTGCTCATATCTGAATTCCCCCCAAGTCCACAGACCTTCTTTCAATCAATTTGTCCTTTGGGTTAAGGTGTATCTCACTGCTATAGTCTGAACATTTGTTTCCATGCAAAATTTATACATTGAAGCCTAAATCATTAATGTTGTGATATTTGGAGGTGGGGCTTAGGGAAGTGCCCTTATATAGGATGAAGAGAACAGAGCCTTCTCTCTCCTCCATGTGACAGAGGATACAAGAAGATTGTAAAACAAGAAGAGACCCTTTATCAAGAACTCAACATGGCAACCCTATCTTAGATTTCTAGCCTCCAGAACAGTGAGAGAAGTAACTATTGTCTAAGCCACTCAGTCTGTGATAATTTGTCACAGAAACCTGAACTAAGTAACTTCCTATCTTCCTTTCATGATGGCTGCTCCAAGACTTTAAATTTCTATGGGCAGGGGTCATTCTTACTCATCTTAGCATTCTGGGTACCAATATAAGCTTTCCAAAGACAATTATGGTTTGAGAAAAAGGTTTATTTTTTTAACTATTTAATTTCTCCTGAATTCTTGAATAAACTAAATATATTTAGGTATACACACACACCGATTATGTTACAAAACCTAAAAGTGATAAGCGAAACATTAACAATTTATAATCTTTTATATTTTTCTACATTCTTTATCCCAGCTCCTATACTGCTGAATTTTTTTTCACATTTCCAAGAAAAATGCCTAATATGCTGCCTTGTTCCAAATCAGTAACGTTCCTACATTCAACATTTATTAACTTGTTTTACAAAATAATAAAATGCTTGTATTTCATTCACAGCAACCAGTACGTTAGCAATGTCATTCATAAACTTAGACTCTGAAGGTACATAAACCTTTTCATAGAAGGAAACTATTTTTAAAAAATTATCCAAAAACATGAAACAGGAAAACAAACAAATATTTCAACACTTTTGTTTCCAATCCCACCCAGATCTTCCACAGCTTAGAATGTGAACTACTCTTTTGGGCTACAAAGTTAAAAATCTGCCTCAGAACTTATTTGCGCTGGGAGGACCTACTACACACGGCTCTGGAACGTGCACTGGCCATGGCAGCAATACGAGCCCTGGCTGCAGCTCTGGCTCGGGCTCTCTCTTCTTCATCTCTCAAAGCCTCTTCATACAAGGATGGGAAGGCACTCGGGACAGAATCATGGACCTTGGCTAAAAACTCCAGGACTTTCATCTTGCTGGTTTCTGCATGGGCTCTTGGACCCCACAGGAATTCATAGCATGGAGGATCACTGTTGGGCACCTGGCGGTACTCTAGGTACTTTTCCCGCACCAAATCTTGGGTGATAAGCTTCCTAGGTTCTCCAAACATGAAGTGCCTTCCCCAGCCATATAATCCCAGCACACTTAGCACTCCCCAGACTTGCTCTTCAGTGGCACAGTTGCCCATTTTGAAAATCACACCCAGGATAGTCATCAGCAGGCCAGTAATAGGCACATTTATGCCATCACTCAGCCTTACATCACAGGTTGGTTCCAGTTTGTTGATGAGAACATAGATGTGCTTGTTAGGATCCAGTTCTCTCAGGTCAAGGCCAAAGATCAGCTCCAGGTGCTCAGATGCTCTTCTCAGAATCTCATGGAAGTAGTCCCTATACACATGGGTTATATATCTCAGCATGTAGACTTTCGTGATGGGCTCTTTCATTTGGTACTTATACAGCAGGTAATAAACCAATATGAATACTTTCTCGTCTATAGGGCCTCTGGGCAAGTGCTCGGTGACAAACTGGGCCTGCATGGATCTTGACCTTTCCTCCACTTGGTTGTTGGCCCTTGCATTAGCTCTTGTGTATGAACTAGCTGCAGTAGTAGTGGTGGCAGATGGGGTGCGACCAAGCCCTTGGGGATTGTTAGTTGTCCCAGCAGCAGCTGAACTCTGGGAATTATGCCTGAAGTGAGCAGAGGAAGAAGACAGGGACTCTCTTCTCTCTCCTGCGGTATCCTGAGCGCCCACCAGACCCCTGGGCTCTTCTTGGGCCTGGCGGCGTTTCTCACGGGCACGGAGCTTACTTTTCTGACCCCGAGGCATGACGGCTTTATTCTAGGGCAGTAGGCTGCTAGGCAGGTGACTCTGTGACCTATGGGAGAGAGGATGAGCCACTTCAGCTGGAGAAAGTTCCTTGGCTTTATTGAAAGACAGCTCTGAAGTTTTCCTTGAAGTCACTAGAGTAGGAACCACAATGTTCCTATTCCCTGAACTACCTGTCCTCTGAGGATCTTATAGAAATAACTAAATTATGCTTTAAGTAGCTACTTGCCAGATCTTCTCCGGGGCTTACTGAGGCTTTGAGCAGTGTCTGTGTTCTGGGGCAAAGGGTCTTTCTCTCAGTTCATACTAAGGGTCATTACCTCACTTCTAGTAGGACCTAAGATCCCTCTGATCTACTGCTTTGATGCTGTCCCCTCATCTCAAAGCTCTCATCTCTCTTGAGACAAGATGAATAGAAGGGAACTTCATCACCTGCTCAGAGACACCAAGATGAAAGCCCAAACAACGCACCATAGGACAATCTCTATCCAAGGGTAGTGTTCTCAGTCCTCATTCATTGTTCTCACCTTCAGTGGTAGAGTCTGGGACTCTCCTCTGCTGACCTGAGACCTATCCCCTCTGATCAATACCCTCATATCTTTAAAAGCCCTAAGGATAAAAATCTTTGTAATCTCCACTGTTGATGGTAGAGATAATCCCACTCAGGAACCTCACACTGACTGCCAGAAGAGCTTGCCACTCCTCCCTCTAATGACATGAGGCTGCCCTTTAGGGCTCTCAAACCAAAGACCTCATTTCCCTAACTCCCTCCCCCAGGTACAATGTTAGATGGTTACTCTCATAGCCTTGGCCAAGGCCTCCCTAGGCTAACAGCAAGGATGGGAATTTATAAGGCTCCCCTTGTCCTGGGTGGGTTCCCAGAGACTTTACTCGGTGTCCTTGGTTTTTGTTTCTGTTTGTTTGTTGTTGCTTTGCCAGAAGGGGGCGCCTGCACATCAAAAAAGTAGGGGGAGGGGAGCAGAGCAAGGAAAAGCACCCCCGATGGGGCTTGGCTACAAGGCACCCTTTTCCGTCCAATTTTCCATTTCCTCAGGGTCATGAGCACCCTGTTTTTTGTCTGGCCATAAGGACTTAGACCACTATCAGCCAGGTGCAATCTGGCTTTCTCAACTGCCCAGTGCTTAACTACTGTGTACTGTGCTATGGGCTGGCCCAATATCTTCATTTTTAACCCGCACTATGACCTGGGACTCATCCACCTGCTGGCTTGACACTGTACCACTCCCGATCTAAGGTGTTCGCTTCCCTGAGACACCACAGGATGAAGTGAAGGTTGCCTTACATCAACCCACCCTCACCCGTAACCTGTCAGGGTCAAAAGTATGAGTGGGTCTCCATGAGGCCCCCTCTGCTCTAGGACCATGATCATTATTGCTGTTAAAACCTAGGAACTTGTTATTAACCCAGCTGTGAGGCTCTGAGGCTGACACCTTCCCTGTCTCCACTGGGAAATATAGAAAGTTCTCGTAGACTGCTACATGAGCCGTCTGAGATCTATTAGAGCTGAACGCAGGGGTACCCTCAGGAAAGTTCATGGAGTGGGCGAGCTCCTCATACCCATTCGGGGTCCTTAATTTCAGACAAGTATCTGTACTTCACCCTCGACTGACCTGATGCGGCCTTCTTCACCACCTTAAGGCTATCGCTTTCCTCCGACGCCAGAGACCAGAGACGGAAGTCAGAGTGCGTCATAACCTTCCACTTCCCCCTCCCCCCGCCACACAGAGCATACAGAGGGCGGGGCTCTGTGGGGTCCCCTCTGTTCCAAAGAGCGGGTTCCTCCCAGGCCTCACTCAGGTCTCACCTTTACAACTATTAAAACCTGGGAATCCTCCTTCTGCTGGTCTGAAGTTAACACCCTAGTGTAACACCTTCATTCCCTTAAGTCACCTCAGGGTAACTATAGAATGTTCTCGAATGTGGTTACGCCAGATTCCTGTCTCTCTACTATCAGAAGAGAAAGGAGAGGTAGAACTTTTTGGAACCCTCTCCAATATGAGGTAGGTGGTTCCCTCATACATAACTCAGGTTCTTTACCTTAATTCCAGGCAGGATCGGCAATTCCTCCCTAGGTCGTCTTGACTCCACTCCTCCTTCCTGTCCTTGAGACCCCAAAGCAGTTATCAGGGTGCGTCACTTCCGGCCAACCTAGTCTGCAGTCTTCCGGTGGGGGAGAGTGGCTGAAACAAGGGCGGAGCCCTGTGGAGCTGGGGCTATTTTAGGGTGGGGGATTACCCCTTGAACTCTCAAAGGGCCATTTTATTGGACTTCAGACTGGGATTTCACCCTCTGGTTAGCTGATTAACCTCACCCTCCAATTTTTAGAAGCTGGCATAACGGGGCTTCTGAGTCTCACCACTATGCCAGGACCGTTCAGAGATAACAGCAGGAGTGGGCCTTGTGCCAGATCTATTTGGGGTGAAAATCACAGAGTCCTCACTTTTACTTCTGTTAGGACCTGGGACTCTTCCCTCTGCAGGGCTGAGTCTAAAACACTAGTCCACAATTCTCATTTCAGTTTTACATTTTACTGCATTTATTAGAGCTCGTGTAATTACTTTGAGAAAGATTGGTACAGGATCTACTTTTTAAATTATTAATTCAATCAAGTTAGGGTTATTACAATAATAAATATATACCTTTGTATCCCACATATATCTGTCACCCCCAGTCAATTTAACACCATTTATGACCGTTTTCCAACCATTCTGTAATTGTAAATTAGTAGGGCTCTGTACTCTAGCATCTCGTGCAAACAGACCCCCAAGCCCAGCCAAAGTACATCCACCCTCTGTTCTGCAAAGTTAGGAATGATAGGTCATCTGAGTTGGGGATTACAATGGAAATTTTTTTCAATACATTTCCACACTCAAACTTTTACTTGCACATTGAGTAAGGTAATTAGCCTGATAATTTCTGTTCTTCCATGTACTCTTGCTTGTAGCTGCATATCCCCCTTACACTACTTATTGCTACTACCTGCCCTATTTAACTCATTAATCACCAATTCCACCCATTCGCACAGATTCAACTTCAGTGGTGGGGGCACCAAACACGAGGGAAGAAATAACCTTTCTTATCAAGTATTAAGACAGTTTTCAGCCCTGGTACAGTGACAAGAATGCAGGGAACCACCAGAGCAGTAAAAAGAAGTGGCTCTCCTAGAATTAATTAATATCATTACTGGGTGATTCAAGGATCTTGCAAGACTCTGCCTGACAAGTGGATAAGAGGGATTGTAAGGGTGGGGTACCAAGCATGCCTCTAGTCCTTTCATCCACCATATCTGCTCATTCAGATCACCCCAAAACTTCATGCTGATAATGATGATTCAGAGACTGCCAAGCCTATTCTTGAAAGTTGTCCAGGACATGACCACTTTTCCCACCTCTTCTCTTTCAGTTCCCTTTTCTGCCACATGCTAAACTATGGATATAGACACCTGATTGTTAGTTACCCAGGGCTCTCTGCATTTGGTTTTAGCTTGTGACCTCTCTTGCACAAGTTGTACTTTTATTACACTCCAGTCTTCCTGATGTTTCTCACTGAGGTTTTCCTGTCTGAGCCCATTTCCTGGCATCTGATCATTCTGACCAAAATCATCTTTCTCAAAATAAAGAGAAATATTTTACTGACATAACAGAATTTTTAAGTATGTGCCAAAGAAATGCTGGTGCTCAAGACTTCATTGTGAATATCCCAATTTATATGGATGACAGAGTATGTTCCATTTATCTTCAATCTACTTAGAAAATAGGGAAATAAAAAATTGAAATATGAGGAGACTTCAAGAAGTTAATTGAAAAATGGGTGGGCTGGCCCTGTAGCATAGTGGTTAAGGGAGATAAATCTTCGAATTTGAATCCTTCGGATTTGAATCCTGGCTCTGGTAACTTAAAAAACACATGTGAGGCCCATGTGCTTATGCGCCCCAAATCCCTAGAGGACAGAGAAATAGAGAAAGGACTGTGGCATGACCACTCCCTGTTAGCAGGTACTTTGTCTCTCCTGTCTCTGGTAATGACACATATCTTCTAGCAATTAAAAAAAAAAAGAAAATCAGAAATATAATAAAATGTCTGTGAGAAAATACAGCAAAAAAAATACAATACAAATAAAATGTGAGAAGATACAGCATTCTTGGGGGGGAATTTTAGTAATATTCAAACATATTATAATCATCACATTCTTTTCATTATAACCTGGTTTTCACTTTTCTATGTCTTTCCTATAAGGAAACATGAGTATTTAATGAAGAATTCATGTTCATCTACATTTATTTAAGTATTATCAGTCATAACAATAAATGGGAAAAACTTGTGAGCATCTGCTCTCCATCACCTGAAGAACATATCTAAACCTTTGTATAGTGTCTTCATGCACACTGAAAAACCAGGATTTTCCCCTGTGGCAGATCCAGACAAGAGTCAGAATGATAGCAAATTATTTCTCTTTCTTATTAAAGTTGTCCTGTGTGCCAGGGAGACATTTTTACATTGAGGGTGGGCCAAATTAATCGTTCCATGAAAATGCCACTACCCTTATCCCTGAAACATGAATATGTTCTGTTACATGGCCACAAGCACTTTGAAGGTACATGAAGGTTGTAAAACTGAAATTAAAATAATGATATGCTGGATAATTCAGATAGGTGCAGTCTAATGACACAAGAATTTACAAGCAGATAATTTTCTCTGACTGGAGGCAGAAGAGAGATGTAGCATGGGGAAAAGTTAGAGATATTCCTAGTGTGAGAAGGATTCAACCTGCAATGGCTCACTTGAAGTATATGCACCCATATGCAGAGACTGGAAAGACTTCAGAAACTGGCAGCTTCAGTCAACAGTCAACAAACAGGGCCTCAACATTATTTCCACAAAGAAATGAATTCCTTAAAAAACCAAAGTGAGCTCAGGAGGAAATTTTTCTCAGAGCCTCCTGAAAAGAAAATTGCCAGCTGAAAGTTTGATTTGAGCTTTGTGAAAATCTGAGTACTGAATCTAGGAGCACCCTTTCATTGTTTACCCTTACATAAATGTAGATAATAAACCCCAGTGTGATAATAAATGTGTGCTGTTGCAAACCACTAAATTTGTGGTAATTTTCTATAGCAATCATAGAAAACTCTTAGAACTTCCTTGACAAACTACAGGGCTTGTAAGAATTCAGCATCTACAGATTATTGCTAGTTACTGATTTCCTTGGTCTTTCTTCATCTAACACTTTAGAAGGTAGGCATTGGTGTTTTTTTTTTTTTTTTTTTTGGAGAGGTTTTTCGCTATAGGGCGCGTGCGCTCGTCAGACAGACAGAGAGAGACATAGAGACAGAAAGCGAGAAATCACCCCCCCAGAGGGGATGGTCACGCCGCAATCCCTTCTCCTCCATTCTCCTTTCGGGATCTTGGGCACGCACGCACAAGCGCCTGGCGTGAGTTTTAAGCCACCGGGTCCGGGATGCGAACCGCGGTCGACTACGTGGGAGTCCAGCGACATAACCATTGCGCTAACTGCTGGTTCCCGGCATTGGTTTTTAACCACTTAGTTAAGATCATTCATTAGCATATAGATTCAGCAACAAATTTTGAAAGTCACCAGATTAAAACTTTCTCTTTTTATATCTCACCTGCTTTCTATCTTTTTTTTTTTTAAGAGATATTTTTGCTATAGGGTGTGCACATTTTCCGGAGAGACAGAGAGACAGAAAGTGAAAAATCACCCCCTGGGAAGATGGCCATGCGACAATCTGTTTTCCTGTATTTTCCTCTCTGGATCTTGGGCATGTACACACACACATGCCTGGCCTTAATTTTAAGCCACCAGGTCCTGGACTTGTACTGCAGTCAACTACATGGGAGTCCAGTGACATAATCATTATGCCATCTGCTGGTCCCAATCTCATCTGCTTTCTAAAGCAGCCTCTCTATTTCAGGATTAATTCTCTGCTTCAGGTTGTAATACCAGTAGATTTTGTGTTAAATAAGACTCTCCTTACTAGTGAATTTGAAAACACTTTGACACTATGCTGGAGGCACACAGGGGTTTAAAGAGATATCTGAGCTTTACTGTCTGAAGTGAATGATTACATGGAAGGGGCTGTTGCTGTCACAGAGGTCTGTGGTGAGGGGCGGGAGTCCCAGAAAGTTGGAACCCTATAAGTCAGGGAGAAGAAAGCAGGTGAGTCTGGGCTACCTGTTTCTCTGGAAGAGGGTGCAGCTCCAGAGAAAGACACAGTGAAGATCTGGTCAGTAGCTCAGTTCCGATTTGGATAGGAGGGTACACTGGAGAAGATGAGGTTGGGGGGGCGGTCACAATGCAGGAACGTGCTGGGACCCATTACATGTTGGGACTAGGGCAGAGCCAGCTCTGGAGGAACCACAGGGCTATGATCAGTAGAATCCCATGCAAATAAATCCCAGACAGTACTAAATTGTGTTTGGGTCTCATTTTCTCCTTCCTTCTTTATGTCTAATTTTTGTACTTTGACTACATGATTTTTTTTTTCATGGCCTGAGAGACATATTGTGGAGTAGTGAAAAGAGAAAGGAATTAATAGACTTGAGACAGGAAAAGTATGGGTTGAGAGGTATTCAGACCAGTGGTCTCGTCTTACCCCTGTCTCTTACAAGCCATGTAAGATCAAGAAAATTTTAAAGTTCTAGGAGCCTCAGGTTCTTTGTGAAGTGGATTTGATATAGTCATCTTACTTGTTGAAATGCAATTAATTTGTGTATGGTATCAGACACACAGCACTGGCATGTATTGGGTCTTCGAACTTCAGCAGTTATTACTGTTATTGTTTTTATCACAAACACTATTAACCTCTTTTCTTAGACATTTTACATTTTTTTTATACTGGAGCTATCAAGATAATATGCATCCTTCTAGAACATGTCTCACCAAATTAGCCAAAATGTAGCTTTTACTTGCTAAGAAACTTTTTGTGGGTATACATTTTTAAAGTTGTGGCTTTGAAGAATTTTTCCCTGCTGGATGTAATTCAAGGCTCCTAGAAAATGTGTCAAGGACACACACTCTTATTCATTTCCATCAAAATATTTCCCTGGCTTTGAGCTTGCCAAATTATACTCAAAATAACCTACTTATTTCACTTTAAATACCCTATTAATGGATTAGAAATGGGCTTTACCATAGTTGGAATATGTCCCCTTAAAAAGTATTTGTTGGAAACTTAATCCCCAATGCAATAGTATGGAGTGATGGGGTATAATGGAAGGTGATTGGGCCATGAAGGTTCTGCCCTCATGAATGAATTAATGCTGTTATAAAAAGTTGAGTTTATTCCTGTTTTCTCTTTCTATCCCTGTCTTTCACCTTCTTGCCTTTTGTCATTGGATAATGGAACAAGAAAGCCCTAGCCAAATGCCAGCACATTTGTCTTGGACTTCCAGCCTCCAGAACTGTGAGAAATAAATTTATTTTTTTATAAGTTACCAAGTCTCCAGTGTTGTGTTATAGTAACACAAAATAGGCCAATACAGGCTTTGTCTTTTCCAGGACAGAGCAGAGTGCCAGCATACTGGCTTCTGTCATGACAGTATCACCTTTATTTCTCAGAAACTCACTGGAGATAATGGATATAGACCACCCAGTTGTGTACTATGTTTGGAAGAGCACAGCACAACTCCCATTACTGTTCTAGGTAGAGATTTCTGTCTAGTTTATCCATGATCCCATGCAATTGTCAAAAGCAGTTTTCTAATCCAAGCATTAGTCTTTCATCTCTAGACACATCTTATGAGAGGATGGCCACTGCTTACCACTCTCAAAGCCTCATCTGACCCACCATCCAGCTTAATTTAAAATGGACGCCTGCTGGAGAACTTGCAGTTTCCCAAGGCCTCAAATCTCATGAAATTTACATTTGATGCATTCATTTAGATATCCTTCTTACCCACATCTTCACTTTCTTTTAACTTGTCCTTTAGGTCTTATGGCATATCTCATCATATTCTGTGTAAATATCTGCTCCTAGAGTCTAAAACTCAATGGACATGGTAGACCTTCTTTAGCCTGCAGTAACACAGAAACTTCTAAAGAGCAGAGTCTCAATTAATGTTTTAGGAATAAATGACTCTATTTGTAAGAGTTTGAATTTAATATAGTAGAACTTATTCTTGAGTAGTCTAAATATATCCAGATATAGATCTGCTATTTTTTCATAATGACAGAGCAAAATTGAATAGGGAATTCAATAATTAGCCATCTTTACCTTTGTTCCCCTCTGTTTCTTTTTAATTGTCAGAGGGTGTTTGCACTTCCCAGAGAGAGACAGCAAGATAGGCAGAGAGGGATAAAGCATCCCCCAGTGGAGTGGGGTCACATCATAACCCCTCTCTTCCATCTATCCATCCTGTCAGGATTTCAGGCACCCATGCACATGTATCCAGCATGCTTTTCATGATGCCAGGGCTGAGATTCAAACTATGGTCAGTCATGTAGGATCTGGCTCCCTTAATCACTAGCTTTGAGGTCAGCCCATTTTCTCTATTTCTTGATCCCAGCTATTATACTTCTGAGTTCTTTCACTTATCCAAGAAAATATCTAATTTACTGCCTTGGTATCTTGTTACAAATCACTAAATAAGATGAAAAGTTTTCCAATTTGATTTGAAAAATATGAAGTGCTTACTCTTAAATCTCACATACAGAAGAAATATGAGTGATGTCATTCATAAATTCAAATTCTGAAGCTACTTTAACCTTCTATTACAAAGAGCAGCTACTTAAGAAATTATCCAAGGTACCACCTAAAACATAATCACAAACATGTTATGCTCTGTGTTGTCTCCAGTCCCACCTTCATCCTCCATGGCTTAGAATAAAGACTTCTCTGGGACCAGCAGTTAGTGTAATGGCTATGTCGCTGAATTCCCACGTAGTCGACCTCAGTTTGAGTACTGGACCCAGTGGCTTAAACTCACACCGGGCACATGTGCGTGCGTGCCTAAGATCCCGAGAGGAGAATGGAGGAGAAGGGATTGTGTGGCCATCCTCCCTGGGGGGTGATTTCTCACTTTCTGTCTCTGTCTTTCTGGTGTACACGCGCGCGCGCCTATAGGAAAAACCCCCCAAAAAAAAAAAAAAAAAGAATAAAGACTTCTCTTTCCAAGCACAAAGCAAGTAAGCAAGTAACCTGGCACAAAGCAAGTAAGCAAGTAACCTGTCTCAGACTTTATTGGAGCTGGGGAAGCTGCTGGGCTCAACCTTGGGAGGTGCACTGACCACAGTGGCAGTATGCACCCTGGCTGCAGCTCTGACTTTAGTTTTCTCTTCCTCATCTTTCAAAACTTCTTCGTGCCAAGAGGGGAAGACACTGGGAACTGTATTATGAATCTTTGCCAGAAACTCCAGGACTTTCATCTTGCTGGTTTCTACATGGGCTCTTGGACCCCACAGGAATTCATAGCATGGAGGATAACTGTTGGGCACCTGGCGGTACTCCAGGTACTTTTTCTGCACCAAATCTTTGGTGATGAGCTTCCTGGGTTCACCAAAAATGAAGTGCCTCCTCCCATCATATAACCCCATCATATTTAACACTTTCCAGACCTGCTCCTCAGCGGCACAGTTACCCTTTGAAAAGATCACACCCAAGATAGTCAATCAGCAGGCCAGTATTCGGCATGCATCTACCATCACTCAGCCTTGCATCACAGCTGGCTTCTACTTTGTTGATGAGGACATAGATGTGCCTGTTGAGATCCACTTCCTTTAAGTCAAGGCCGAAGATCAGCTCCAGGTGCTCAGAAGCTCTCCTTAGGATCTCAGTGAAGTTGTTCTTGTACTTTTGGAGCACGTTTTTTACCATGTCTGTCTTTGTAATGGGCTCTTTCGTTTCATACTTGTATAGCAGGTAATGCACCAACATAAATACTTTCTCATCCAGAGGGCCTCTTGGCAAGTTTTTAGTGGCTTCTTGGTCTTGCCTGGATCTTGACTTTTCTTCTGTGTGGTTGTTAGCCCTTGCATTAGATCTTGTGCATGAATCAGCTTCGGCAGTAGTGGTGGCAGATGGTACTCTCTGAGGACCTTGAGGACTGTGTGCTGTTCCAGGACGTGAACTCTGGGGAACACCCTTAAAATGAGCAGAGGAGGAAAGATGATTCTTACCTTTTTCTGCTACAGTGGCTTGAGCACCCCCCAGATCTTTGGGCTCTTTTTGGGCTTGATGGTGTTTTTCCTGGGTGTGGAGTTTACTCTTCTGGCCTCAAGGCATGATGACTCTGTTCAAGTGAAGTAAGTAAAAGAGCAGGAGATTCAGTGACCTGGAGAAGAGATGATGAAGTGGTGTGGGTGTGGGCCCATTTACCAGAGAGATCCCACTCTGGCTTTATTAACAGAAACTCTGTATATTTTCTTTTTTTTTTTGGAGAGGTTTTTGTTTGTTTGTTTGTTTGTTTGTTTGTTTGTTTGTTTGCTATAGGGCGCATGCGCTCGCCAGACAGACAGAGAGAGACATCACCCCCCAGGGGGGGTGGTCATGCTACAATCCCTTCTCTTCCATTCTCCTCTCGGGATCTTGGGCATGCACGCACACGCGCCCAGCGTGAGTTTTAAGCCACCGGGTCCGGGGCGCGAACCGTGGTCGACTACATGGGAGTCCAGCAACATAGCCATTACGCTAACTGCTGGTTCCCAAAAGGCAAACATTTTTAAGCTCTAACTGTTCCTTAACTGCCCTGAGAAATAGCTAGGGTGTATCTTAGGTTAATGCCTACTAGATTTGTCTGGGGCTTACTGGAGGGTGACATCAAGACCAAATAGCTTCAAGCTTTATAGAGGCCCCTTTGTCCTTGCTTAGGGAGGATTATCTTAGTTCACATTCAAGGCCATCATCTTAATTTCTGGTAGGTTCTTGAATCCTCTACTCTACTTCCTTGATTCTATTCATCATTTCAATGAGATAATCTCCCTTCTATCCTGGAAAAGAAATTTAAGAGGAACATTTGACCAGACCTTCCTGGGGACACTCAGGATGCCAGTCACAAAAGAGCTTTGTAGAGCTCTATCCTGGGGTAATTAAGGTCATCCTTGCTAATTTGGAGCTTTCATCTTTGCTTCTGGCAGGGCCTAAGACTCCACCTTTTACTAACCTGCGACCTCTCCCCTTCAAAGGAAGGCGCTCACCTCCCTGTGATCTCAAATGAGGGAGTATTAAAGGCTCAATGTAATGTATCTACCCTACGTCCCTCAGGGTTATCAGCATGGGCTGAACTACTCGCCAGATTCTTCTGATCTGGAGAGGATGGTTCTCTCAGGACTCAGAATCCTTTCCTTTACTCTTATTAGGGTCTGAGACTATTCCTCTGCTGGCCTAGACAATCAGATCCAATACCCTGATCTCCCCCAGTTACTCCTCAGAAGAATTCAGCGGGTACTTCATCAAGTGATCCCTCTTCAGGGCCTATTAAAATCTGTTGGAGGGTTCCTATATTTTGAAGTAGAGGTCCATTCAAAACTGACTCAATGTCCTTACCTTACCTTGTGGCAGGACCTGGAAATAGTTCCTTTGACAACATAAAGCCCTTCCGTTTTCTAAGAAGCCAGAAATGGAATTTAGAATGTGTCATATCTAGCCACTCCCACTGGGGCCTCTGAGCTTATAGTAGGGATGTAACTCTACAAAACTCTAACGTTCTTGGGTGTATGATCTACTAGGATCTTACTCAATGTATTCACCTTTTCTCCTGGTAGGGCATGAGACTCTTCCATCTGCTGGCCTGAGGCTGTAACCTGGTGAAATGCCATCTACTTCTTGATTCTCCAAAGAGGTAATTCAGATGACACTGTATCAGGTGTTTGCTCCAGGGTCTGCTACTACTGACAACACAGGTAGGACTCCCTGGGGCCCCCTCTTGCTGGGGGAGTACATACACTCATACCTCACAAAGGGTCCTTATCTGACCTCCTGCAGAGCCTGGGACCCCTTCCTCTGCTGACTTAACACTGTATCCCTTTATACTGCATGGCAGCAGGAGCTAGAGTTCTGTGGAGACCTTCTGATCAGGACTGGATGGGTCCTCGAGATCTTAGGGCTCTCGTCCTCACAGCTGGAAGGCCTGGAGAACCACCCTATGTTGGTCTCATGTCAAATCCTGGTCTAATGTTGTCACTTCTCTGAATCATGGGATTCAAAAGGTGCTGCCTCAGGTGATACCCTGTCTAGGGTCCCACAAGGGGTGGGATTCCTATTGGCTTGTCTTGTCTGGTAGAGGAAGTGCTCTCAAACTTCACTCGGGGTCTTTATCTAAACTTCAAAAAAGGGTCTGGAACTTTCTCTTTTGCCGACCTGTTCCCCCGTGTTCATACCAATGCTTTTATTTCTCTGATAACTTAGAAGTTGAGGAAGCCAGTTTCAGCCACCACCACCAACCCATTCAGGGTCTCCCAAGGATGAGAACAGGCATGTGACTCTTAGGGGTGAGAGAGAGGCCTTTGTTTTGTTAGAGTGGAAGACTCTGAAAGAACTCATGTAGGAGCTTTTCATTGACTCCTGGGAGTCCTGGGACTCTTTGTTCTTCTGATCTGAGTCAGCCAGCCTTAAACCAAGGCCTCACTCCTTAATCACTCTATCCTACAACTATTCATCTCTTATCTCCAGAAGATGAAGTGAGGGGTACCTGGGCCCAATATCCAGGCATGGGCATAGAAATGCTAACAGCAAGGATGGTCTCTGTTCTGCATATTCTGCTCTGGAGTGGGAGATTCAGAACTTTCTGGGGGTATTCATTTATACTTATTTTAGGGTCTGAGAGCCCTCTCCTTCTGTGGGTCTAAGGATGGCACTCAGTCCGATATCCTCACCTCATAATTAAAGATGATGTAAGTTTTGCTACAGACCACGTGATAAATGTGAGGATGGTCAGTACAGAATCTTTTAAATTTTTTTAAATTCATTCAAATCAGGGTTATAATAGTAATAAAGATAGAGATCTGGACTCCACATATACCTGTCGCCCACAGTCATTTTAAACTTTGTAATCATTTACAATAGTCTTCTATCTGCCCTGGAAATGTTTGCATTGAAGACAAGTCTCCTACTACACAGCCATCAGACAGTCCCCTCTGTTCTCCAAAGAAGTCAACAATGGGAGGCAATTTGAGTTGAGAAGTACATTTGGATATGTTTTTTAATAATTTCTACACTCAATTCTTTACTTTCACAGTCAGTAAGGTATTAAGCCTCAGAGAATTCCCAATCTTCAGCGTTCCCCACCTTGTACCTGCACAACCTCTTCCACTACTCACTAGCACTACTTGTCCTCTTGAACCATTTACCTCAGTGGTAGGAGGGCCATGGACACGGGGAAAGAAATAATCTTTTTTTATCACATATCAAGATAGCTTTCAGCCCTGGAAAACATGCAAGAATATGCTGAACCACCAGAACACTGAAGAGAAGTCATTCTCCCAGAATCCATTGTTATCATCACTGGGTGATTCATGGGATCTAGCTACATTTCCTGACAAGTGGATAAGGGAGTTTGTAAGAGAGAGTGGGACGCCAGGCATGCCTCTCTAGTCCTTTCATCTACCAGATCTGCTCACGCAGATCACCCAAAAACTTCCTGCTAATAATGATTCAGTTATTGCCATGCCTATTATTCTTAAAAATTGTCCAGGGCATGAGCTGTTTCTCCACCTCTTCTCTTCTGATCTCTTTGCTACTCTATGCTAAACTCTGGATATAAATCTCTGTCGGTTGCCCTGGGATTTCTGAATTTGGTTTAGAACATGATCTCTCTCATAGATTCTGGACATTGTTCTCCAGTCCTTCTCATATCCCTCATTAATGGATCTTTTCTTTTCTGGGCCTATTTTATGGCACCTTATATTTCTTAATCAAATTCATCATTTTCAAAGAAAAACGTCTTATTGACATAGCAGAATTCTAAAGAATGCACGCACAAGTGCTCAAGACATCCTTGCAGAAATCTCACTTTATATAGTTAAGGGATTATATTCATTTTCTGTTTAACCTACTTAGAAAACAAGGAAATGAAAATTAAAATAATAGTGAGACAATGTATTTTCAGTTAAATTTGACCAAAGTTTAAAAAGCTGATAAAATAAAATGTCTCTGAGAGCTTAATTTATTCCCATACATTAATATGTGAGACTATAAATTGAAAGAGCATTATTGGAACAGAACATAAGCAATATTCACAGACATGTACAGTCATCACATTCTTTTCATTTTAATTCAATTTGTACTTTTCCGTATCTTTCATAAAATAAAACATACACATTTGCTCAAGAATTTATGTTCCCCAGTGTTGATATCAATTCTATTAATCATAGCAACAAATGAAATACAACTTGGTGTCCATCAGGAAGAGAATGGTCAAGTTAATTACAGCCCATACACACTTTCATATTCTAGGGAGCAGTTAAATCTTTCTGTGTGCTGTCACTGATTCTCTATTCATTTTATTCAGTGACAATGGCAAGATGCAGGACAAGATGAACATAGTTATCAATGTATGTTAAAAACTCACAGTGTGGGGCTAGCCCATGGATGATGGTTAAGGCAATCAGATCTCATGTGGCCAACTACGTGGTTCAAGTCCTGAACCCAGCAATTAAAAAACATGGTGTGCATGTTTGGACACAAGCCCAAAATCCTGAAAAGAGGGAGAAATGGGGGAGGGATTGTGGCATGATCGTATCCCATGGGGTTGCTTTCTTCCTCCTTTTTGCTGTCTCTCTCTGGAGAGTGCATACTCCCTCTGGCAAATTAAAAATGAAAACAACAACTCACAGTGTATTTTCCTAACACATATATGTAAGAAGAAGCCTTGAATAAATTTTAAAACACTACATGCAAGAGTTTTAAATGTAGTCACCATTTAGAAGGGATTGAATTTTAGAAGAATATAGTATGAGCAGAATTGTGATTTATCTATGTTGTTAGAAATTTTTTGGTAACATGGGACCAGCAGATGGCATAATGGTTACGTTGCTGGACTCCCAGGTAGTTGACCATAGCTCGAATCCTGGACCTGGCAGTTCAAAAAACTCACACTGTGTGCATGTGTGTGTTTGCACAGAATCCTGAGAGGAGAATGGAGAAGGGATTACACTGTGGCCATCCCCCCTGGGGGGGGGGTGGTTTCTTGTTTTCTGTCCCTGTCTCACTGGTGAATGTACATGCCCTATAGCAAAAAGCTCTCTCTCTAAAACTAGAACTTTTTGGGAACAAAATCATGCACCATTTTCTTTGTAATTAAAATTTTTAAAGAATACTATCAACAGAAATAGTAGTTGTGTACTATACAGATGAAGCGTGTATAAGACTTAATGGGAAAAGTTTGAAATCTGAATGGCTTAACACAGCAGAAGTTTTTTATGCAAACAGAATTTGCTGTAGATTGACAGGGATCTCATTTGTCAGATGACTTGAAGAACCAGACTACTTCCCGAATGCCCATCCATATCTCAACACAGGTTCTCCACGTTTGCTGGAATGGTACAGAAAGCATGGAGGTGGTAGAGTTGCTCTCAAATGCCTTGGAAGGGGAAAATTATGCTTCCGCTCATGTTTCAGTGTTAAGCATAGTCATGTGACCTTTCTGAGCTATAAGTGCTGGTGACATGGTCTCCATATAAATCAAATATGGAGAGCAAAACATGAAACAAGTGGGCATTTGCAGTGTTTCCAATTAACTATTACACAGTAGGAGCTCCATAAAAAGTTGCCATTATAATTTGTTTTGGCAATAACCTTCTTCATTCTTGGAGAAGTTTCTAAGACTATCAATTGTCCTTGCTACTCAATAAGATTTTCTAGTGCCTGTATGTGACAGGTGTTTTCAAATCCAGGATCACACCAATTTTCAAAATAATCCTATAAATCACTCCAGGGAGGTTCGCCCTTCTCCACTAAATAGCATCTTTCTGCACTAACCTTTTGAATGACTTCTATAATGTCAATATACAATTTCTTCTTTCTTTTGGTGGCATGGTCAAAATAATAACTTGTGAGTCTCTGCTACCCACCATCTGATGAACATACATAAGCTCCTGAGCCCTTAGGCACAATGAAAAAACAGAATTTTCACTTGGGGTAGACATAGATAAGATTCAGGTAAATGATGAAAAATTATTTTCTTCTCTTCTTACCAAAGCTCGTATATCTGCCAGGGAGACATTTTCTACCCCTATGGTAGACTTAATAATTGTTCCACAAAGATTTCTATACCCTTATTTCTGAAACCCATGAATATGTTATATTACATGGCCAAAGGCCCTTTGCAAATATAGTTAAAAGTATGGAACTGACCTTAATACTAAGGAGATTATACTGGGTTGTCTGCACGGGCCCAATCTCATTACATAACCTCTTAAAAAGCAGATGATTTTCTCCACCTGGAGGCAGAACAGAGATGTGGCAAAGGGAGAGTTTGGAGAGATTCCAAGCATGGGACAGGTTTAATGTGCTATTTCTGGCTCAAGAAGTAGGGCCCTATATGAAAAGACTGGAGAAAGCCCTCCAGGAATTATGACAGCTCTAGCTGAAAGCTAGCAAGGAAACACACTCCTCACTCTTACTACCAGAGAGAATTCCTCATAGAACTGGATTCTGAGAGCAATCTGAATGACCTGAAATGAAATTCTTTCCAATAAGAAGCCAAGTTTGATAGCTTGATTTGGCCTTGTGTAACCTTGAGAGGGAAAAAAAGTAGATCAACCTACACATTTTACCTACAAAAAATGTGATATAATAAATATGCATTAAAAGAAGCTAA